TCTAATGCACGAGGGTGGTGTAATAGTGCGCAAGGGTTTGTGAGGTGATGGATAAGAGGAATAGGACACGTTAATCTAATGCACGAGGGTGGTGTGATAGTGCGCAAGGGTTTGTGATGGGATGGATAAGAGGAATAGGACACATTAATCTAATGCACGAGGGTGGTGTGAGAGTGCGCAAGGGTTTGTGAGGTGAAGGATAAGAGGGATAGGACACGTTAATCTAATGCACGAGGGTAGTGTGAGAGTGCGCAAGGGTTTGTGAGGTGATGAATAAGAGGAATAGGACACGTTAACGTAATACGCAAGGTATTTTATGCATTTGGACGAAGCGAGGACCAACAATTGATCTCGAAACCTATTTTTATTAAAACCATAAATTGAGCAAGAATAGATAGCAGATGGTAGTAAAGATCGATACCATTTGGTTTCAACTCGACAGTGGTTCAATCATGGAATATGCAGTTGGTGACGTGACGTGTAAGCTTAGCTTAACCCTTTCACTTTCTGTACTCTCCTAAAACCTTTATCGATTGGCTTGAGTGTATTTGACCAACAATCATGCGATTAATTACTATTATTATTGCAGTTTATCTAAATCATTTAGGACAAGATTTTCCAGATTTGAAAATGCAAGCGGTTATTCTCCCGTCATTTTCTTACGTACGGAATTGAAATTTACTGGAAACATTTATTAAATTTACTAGTTTATTGTGTGTTACGCGAAGCATAACTTACATGCTTTGAAAACTAACTTACTGTACGTGGAATTTACGACCTATTTTACATTGGATCGTGCGTTTGAGTTTTACGCCGGACAGAACTACATACCACTAATATACCATGTTCGAATTAGTGAAAAACCGCTGTGTTCCTTGATCACGGACTCGTTTATACAGGGCTAGCCTCGCATCAGTGTTGAAATATTCACAAATACCAACGGTAAAGTAAAGAATGCACAACTTCAACAATACAAACACTGATATTCCACGCACCTTCACAGGAATACATGAATATTCAAAGCAATTGCATACGAAATCGAGGCCAACCTTCTAGAACTGAGAATTCGAAACTGGAGTCTTAGCACTGTACTTGAAATAATTTACTGTATTTTTACATGAACTTTGCAAAACTGTGTAAATTGGTCATTTTCCTTCGAACATTGTCTTTTCTTTTTCTTGTCATTACTCAGTGAGAAAAGTTTCTATCAGTATTATATAAATGTCTGTTAATTTGATCAGTTGGTTTCGTGATGTGCTAGAACGCACAATAGCCGAGCACCGGCGGATCCATTTCCTTAACGCTTAAAGGACAATTTAAAACAAAAATGCTGAATTAGCCTCAAAACTAAAAGACT